CACCATCAACTATATTTTTATGCCTTAAGCTCAGGAGTTTTTTTTTCACTGCTGGTCGGATTTGTGTTTAATCTCTTCCCTTGACAATGCCTGTAAACTGGCATTAAATTTAAATTTACATTTATATGAACGACACTAGTTGTTCGAGATCGCACAGTTCTTTGGTTATGTAGTAGGCCTCATTAGGAAGTGGTGGTGCCAGCTTGGGGAGGACGACACGGCGGAGAATGAGGGGTGCAGCAATGCGCGGAGGCCAGGCCCTTAAGCAGAGGTTTGGAGAACCGAGTACATCGGCGACGCGCGGATTGGAGGAAGCATCGATCGGCGTAACGGTGCCGTAGGCCCCATGAGTTGTGGGGAACTTGGGGTTTTCGTTTGGAGTATATATACTTAAGCAGGCACCGTCAAACATATGCCAGGCAGGGGGTAAAGACACATTTTAATTAATGGGTATCTAGAGGATGAGAAGCATCCTCCGGAAGACCCCTTCAAAGGATTTTAGCATGCCGCAAGTGGCTTGCTTATCATGCTCACGCGAATTTCTAAGGGGTAAGACCGCACCCTGAGTGTTGCATAAACGAACGCGTCGTCTGGCCTATCATGCTTCAAAGTGATTATCGTACGGACCATCTTGAATTTGCTTTTGTGGGCTTTACAACTTCGTCGTAGCATGCAGAGTCTGTATTTGTATGTACCTTCGCAATGACTCAGATGGCAAGTGGGGTTGGCAACACCAATTGTCTGCTTATATGAGATGAGGTCAAGGTCAAGGCGCGCAGCTAAATTTCAAAGATAAATGAAGCTCTGCATTTATCTGGATATTCTTAAGTAATAAATGCCTGTTTTTTTACTTGAGTCCGTTTTAAAAGTCGCCTTTCTATATAAGGTAAAATTTTTTCCCAGTTTGTTTGACAGTCTGGTAAAATAGTCGTATTTTGCAAAAAATCCATTGTAGTGAATCCTTTACCTACTACCGCTTTCTAGTTTTTGTCGTTAAAAACAGTAATACTTGCTATTCAGTGCGCTTTTTCGTACGTTGGCAACGTTTTGATCCTTCTTCTGTAACGAAAAACTTTTTTCTCTGTAATGCCCCGCAGAGCACGTGCTAAAATGCGAAAGCTTGCGGCCTCCCCACCGTCTCTGGGTGCTAAAATCGTGAGTGAAGACATGGCAGACGCCAGCGTATGTTCTTCGCCTTCTGCAGATCTGATTAACTCACAAATCCCTTTAGTACATGTAGAACCTCTCGACCCTTCAGTCGTAAAAAAATACGCCTCTGCTAGTCGTAGCAGGCCATCAGCCGGCGAAATAATCGATCAGCTGATTTATGGCGACATAAACAGCACTTCTGAAAAAGTGCTTGAACAAACTTTTAAACTTATTGGGGTAATAAGTTCGGAAACTGGGGAACGAATTAAACGCAAGCATAATTTCGTACTGCGAAACATTCCGAGCCACTTATCTGCTATGGAGGGAGCGCATTTGTTCCTACAAAGTCGTGACTTGAGTTTTAGTGTCGCACAAGCTAAGCGACTTCGCTCGCTTAGCCGTAATGCGCCGATACTAGTTACCCTTTTCTCCATGATAGAAGTCGATTTTATCGTGTCGAGTAGGGAGCTGACTAGAGAATTCTGCCGTAAATGGCGCTGCTCCGTTTCGCCAGACCTCAC